ATTCATATAAAGCAGATCCCATGGTCCCTTCCCCCGGGTCTGCCCCAGACACATTGACCTACGCGGGGTCGGGGCTGACATGGATAACCCTTCCTGCACAGAGGAAGGTCCTCTTCCTGCTTAAACTGGCATATTCACTCTCCACCACCCCAGCAAGAGGCTTCATGGGTGTGGCACATTTGCGCTGACCCTCCATATCAGAGTAATACTACCGCGTGGAATTACGATGACCAATATTAAGCTTTACATTTTAATCCCAGCCCTAATCAAATAGGTCAGTAAAATAAAAAACAACACTTAACAATAATATAACACTTTACAACTCCCCTTTCAGATAAGTGTGTATTATTATTATTATTATTCCCATTTTACAGATGGAGAATCTGAGGCCCAGAGAAGTTGATGATGCAAATCAATTAAGATTTCTAAAGGACATAAGCCCAGATTCTCAAAGATATTTAAGTGCCTAACTCCCACTGAGGTGGGCAACAGAGACTATTAATTCTTTATTATTTTAACACCTGCTGGAGCCTGGTCTTGCAATACTTCTGTATCCAAAACTTCCAATGAACTTGGGTGAGATTTAGATTATTATTATTTATTTGTGCTGCAGTATCTCCTAAAGGCCTCAACCCCATTGTGCTAGGCACTATACAAACACACAATGCATAACTAAAGCAGGGTTGGGTTCATGATGAGCAACAATTTTGCAACATATCAGAATATATAAGGTGCCTGTTTTCCATTGATGCATGGGAAATGGTGAAGACATAAAATTTCACTAATAGGAGTTATCTACAGTAGACTCATGCATCAGCAGAAAAACAGATAGCTTTGACTTCTTCATGCTATCAACTATGAAAATGAATTATCAGGAAGTCGGGGGGAAAAACCGACCCAGCTCTGAGATCTCTGAAATATAAAATAATTAACATTGACTATATGTTACATGTGCACGTGCATGACATTCTGGAAATATGATGTAAAATTAATCTCCAAATGCTTTATTAACCACTTTGTATTGTGTTTTCTATTTCTTTACTAGGTACTGAGACTTGTCACTTTACCACATCTCTCTGTAGGACTGCAAAAAAACAAAAATTAAGTCCTGTAATTCAAACTGAAAGTTTAAAAAAATATATAAAAAATAGAAAGATTTTATCAGTTTGCAGTATCTGCAGTTCAAGATTATGTGATCCTTCTTACTGACACACTGAATTACGGGAAAGATGGTGTCTACACCACTATAAATCAGACATCTGCAAATCCCAAGCTCATCTTCTGATGGAAAATGGAAGATTTAAACATGCAGTAAAAACAGGCGAGACATATTGATCAAAGAACACTCTGCAACATCCATCACACAGTATAAAACAGGAGAAAATAACAATTCCACATGAACACAAACATTTTGGTGATTTAATGGATTCACAAAAAACTGTTCCAGGCAATGTCCCAAATAAAGACTTAAATCTGGATACAAGCATGTTCTTGGCACATTTTGATTAATAAACACTACCATTTCTGACAAACTCTTACTTCCATGAGTAGTAGCCTCACTGTTTTCAATAATGTTATTCACATGAAGAAAGGTTTGCAAGATTGAGTCCTTTGGTATCCACAGCAACATCAAAAGAAAACTGTATTCTTCACTCATGAGGAATGGGGAATCTTCTTTCAAAACACTGACATAAATATCACAGTAAGTCTCTAAAATCATTATTTAAAAAAATCTTTAATATTTGTTTTGCCTGTTCATCCCTGAGATACTGCCCTTAAATGTTGTAAATCAGCTATTTCAGAAACTGAAGAAAAATTGAACCAAATACTACTCAGTAGAAAATGTATTGACTAAAATTTTCTTTAGATTTCAGTCATTAACTATACACAGAGAAAGAAAATCACAGTGCCTCATTAGCGGACTAAGACAAGACTTGAAATGTATTACAGTGATACCATTCACAATACTGCACTTAAAAATCTCTCTGGCTTATAGACCAAAAAAATTTGATCATATACCCAGTCAGTTCAAGGGGAGTTTCAAAGGCAACCTCAATAGCAGCAGAGTAGGAGCCAAGAATATTCAAAGCATTATAATTCTGCATTAAAAATCTCCATAGGATTAAATTTCCAAGCAATTCCTTAGTGCAGGAGGAGGCTTGTGTATAAAATATAAAGGGGGAAATGTCAGTTGTAGTTTTCCTGATGAGTTTTTTTGTTTTGTTGGTTTTACCAGGTTAGTTTTTACATCTTTTTTTCCATCTACGACAGCAAAATAAAAAAAATTATGCTTTATGAGGACAATTTTTCTTTTTAATACCAAAACTTGTGATTCAATAACCTAAAAAAGTCATGAAATCTAAAACCAGGCCATTTCAAGCCATTACATTTTAAGAAAAACTCTCCATCGACTTCAGTGGGGTTCTGCTTATCACTTGGTGGCACACTATTTCCCATCTTTTTAATATGAAAATGCCAATTATTGAAAAACACCACACTTACAGGCAGACAGGATCTCTTAACCTGACAGGGTGATTTTTCTTGTTGTGATTTGAGTTCTGTATAAATAACGGTTGGTGAATTTTTTTGTTTAAAGAAGGTCATGCATGAAGTCAGTCTCAAAAGATGATCAAAACAATCAACCTTATCTATGATGCATTAGTAAGTAGAATGAGCCAGTGGTATAAGCGCAGACTTAAAAATAGACACTCCTGAGTACTAATTCTGGTCCTGATGCTCACCTCTCTGCAAAGTTTCCCAGTCTGTAAAATGGAGATAAAAAAAATTTCATATACCTAACAGGTTTCGTATGAAGATTAACTAGTTACTGTTCTAACACTACACTACATATTGTTATTAAGTGAAGGGTGAATTTGTTAAAGCAAGATGTCACTGTTAATTTTTGTCTCATTAAGAACTGCTCCTTACCATCTATCTAATGGCTGTTTCATAGCCTATTTGGACGGAGTTAATGGCATAATACGGGAAAGAATTAACATAAAAAATATCACCACAGTTACTAATTGGTATGCTTATTGGCAGCCTCAGCAAAGATGCCAAAGAATGAACAGGCAAGGAAAATATTCCCTAGACGTGGTTCCACCATGTCAGGGTTGAGGCACATTGGTGGAGTCGTCATGTGGGGGGGAAGCTTGCTCTGCCACAACACATGCTATACCTTTGCATAAAGATAGGATTTCTGAGCATGGTTCTGATCTCCTAGTGTAAATCAACAATGTTAGTGTGGTTACACCAGTGCAAAAACAGTCTTGTGATCAGAATCAGGCTTTTCAGTTTCCAGTGATGTAATTTTATCAGCACTTGATTCACTTTAAAAAGTGAAAATAGCCACTAATATTGGCACTGTTGTTCTGGGTCTCCAGCTTGCAATGTTTACACATTAATAACATCTTTGTTTACAATATGTGACAAGACATTAGATGAAATGCCCACAATCCCATTGGTATAACCAACATTTTCATTATGTCTGTGAAAATCTCTTCGTAAAAAAACTCTCCAGGGTTCCTATTATGGAGACTGTCTTGGATCACCAGAAGCTGCAGTTAGTCCTGGTAATATTGTATCATGCAAGACTAATACAAGCTGGCACTCTTAAAGGCAAATACTGAATCCTGTTAAATTCTAATGATAACCAGCAGAAATTTGGCTATAAGATAACACTGTGGGAAGCAGTAGCAAAAAGAACACTGAGCAGTTCTATTTAAAAAGCCCTAGCAACCTAAGCAAACTGATATATATATATACACACACACACACACACTAGTGATACATGTAGTGTTACTCTCCTTTTGTGAAAGTTTACTGTAATTCACATTAACTAACATTGTATAAAACATTTTAGATCTTTTTTCTTCAGCTATTAAAACTTGTTTTCTCCTATGCAGAAATACACAATGATTTTTCCACCCTATTATTTCATAAGTGCTGTCATCTCATAATAAGTTAATATGTTCGGTCACTCATGGAAAAATACAAGCAGGTAAATGAAAAAAAAATTAAAAGCTAGATTTTATAAAAATCAGCATGTTTTGAACCCAGGGAGTTAGATAATTAACTTTCTGAACCAACGACTATTGTTATTCTTTTAAAATCATGGAAAGTACAAGAAGTTTGCAAAAAATATGATCATTAAAATGAAAAAACAAAAAACAGAAACCTAGACTACTCCTCCCTGAAACAATCAAGCAGAGGTGGTGGGGGGAGGTCACATGCTTGCCCAGATTTCTGCCAGGGTTTATATATTTATATTTTTCCAGGGAAGTGGGTTCAGAATTGTGCCCCTCCACCCCCAACAGTTATCTGTGGCTTCTGCAATCATGTCAGTTTCCATAGGCCAATCTCATTTCAGTCATTAGTAAAATAATGAAACAATCAGACAACCAGAACCATAAATAGTAAACATCCCCAAACAGTGAGAGCTATTGGGCCGTGGAGCACTCTCTCAAGAGAAGTCCCCAAACTTCACTAATGTAAAACAGGGTGAGCAAATCAGACCACGGGGAACAATAAACAAGAACTTGGTTTATGCAAGAGTGTCCCCCAAACAGTCGTTTAGCTCAGCGAGCCCTTTCCCATTTGCAGGCATACTTTCAGTACAGGGTGGAGCACTGGTTCATGCTGGACGTTTCCATTCATTTTCACACAGCTAGAAACCCGCGTGCAAGCTGGGGAGTTGGGGTGCCGCAGAGAGGAGCCTTAGGTCGTATTGGCAAACCCGAGCACTCGAGCCTACTATGAACAGGGGCAGACTCCAGCGAGGCCAGAGCCATGACAGGAGGGGACCCAGACCCCTTCCCATCAAAGAGGGAGAGTGGCAGCCAACGCCTCCCCACCCATCCATCCATCCCTCTTCCCGCCTTCCCCTGTCCCCTCCCCCTCCTCACACAGCCCCAGCACCGTAACCCTCACTGCGCCAAACACGCTCCCCTGCGCATGCTCAACCGGCGCCACCTGAGAGACGTTACGGCGCATGCTCAGTCACTCGAAGGTCTCGGGGACAGCCGGAACCGCCGCTGCGCATGCCCCGTCCCGCTTGATCCGGAAGTGGTTCTTTTGTTTCGTGACACGTCGCACCGGAGGAGGGTGAGGGGCGGCAGCCGGGGGGATTCTCTCAGCGCTGCGAGGAGGGGTTGCCAGGTGAGGTTGCGGCCAGGTAGGGGCCGCTAGTTCCCTGTCCCTCCGCGGGGCCGCTCCCCTGACCGCGAGCGGACACCAACGGTGAGCCCCTTCCCCAGCCCAACCTATTCTCCCCGGGGCTCGACCCACCCCGTCCCGCGGCTCTCCCAGGCTCCTCACAACAGCTCCGAGTCCCTGCCCCCTAGCGGGAGATTGAGTCGGGGTCCCTGCTTTCCAGAGGGGGAAACTGAGGCACAGAGGCGTGAGCTGATTGGCCCCAGGTTACTGGGAGTCAGTAGCAGGAATTGGGGGTGGGCGTACGGATTGGGGGGGTCAGGGCCATGAACGTGCTGTGTGGGCAACACACATTTTGTTGTTACTTAAAGCTGTGCCTCGTACTTGTGGTGTAGCTCCCTGGCTGTATAGCGCCTGTTGTTGCTTGGACCGTTAACACATCTCCATTGTAACTATTAATCATACTGGTGACACATTTAACTTATGTATTAGTATGGAAGGAAACACTATATCCATTATAATCTACGTCTTTTGATCTCTTACGGCGCTGTAAAATGTTATACATTTACACACACAGAGATGTAGACACCATTTTTAAAGTATTACATATATCAGAGGGGTAGCCGTGTTAGTCTGTATCCACAAAAACAATGAGGAGTCTGCCATATCAACAGTTTATTAGAGTTGTATGACAGCCAGAGGCCAAAGTAACCCTTTGTGACTCATACAAGCTTTGATGTTCTTATTTTACAGATAATTTGCAATGTCTGGGTTTGACAACTTCAATACAGATTTCTACCAAACAAGTTATAGCATTGATGACCAGACACATTCCTATGATTACAGTGGAAGTGGAGAACCATACAATAAGTAATTTGTACATTTTTTTTCCATTCTCTAACTTGTATAGTATTAGTTTATCCTGTCTGTGATTGCATTTCTTTACATCTCTAACACTTAAACACACACTAACAACAAAACTGTTCTAGATAAGAATGGCCATACTGGGTTAGACCAGTGGTCCATCTAGTCCAGTAACCTGTCTTCTGACAGTGACCAATACCCAGTGCTTCAGCGGGAATGAACAGGGTAGCAGTTATTGAGTAATCCTTCCTCTGCCATCCTCTCCCAGTTTCTGGAAGTCAGAGGCTAGGGACACCCAAAGCATGGGGTTGTGGCCCTAACCATCTTGGCTAATACCCATTGATGTACCTATCCTCCGTGAACTTATCTAATTCTTTTTTGAACTCAGTTATAGTTTTGACCTTCACAACATTCCCTGGCAACAAGTTCCACAGGTTGACTGTGCATTGTATGAAGAACAACTTCCTTTTGTTTTAAACCTGCTGCCTATTAATTACATTGGGTGACCCCTGGTTCTTGTGTTCTGTAGGAGTAAATAACACTTCCTTATTCACTTTCTTCACACCATTCATGATTTTATAGATCTCTATCATATCCGCCCTTAGTCATCTCTTTTCCAAGTTGAAAAGTCCCCATCTCCTTAATCGCCTCTCCTACGGAAGCTGTGCCATACCCTTAATCATTTTTGTTATCCTTCTCTGCACCTTTTCCAATTTTAATATATGTTTTTTGAGAGAGGGTGATCAGAGCTGCACACAGTATTCAAGATATGGCTGTACCATGGATTTATATAGTGGCATTATGATATTTTCTGTCTTATTGCTCTCTTTGCAAATGGTTCCTAACATTCTGTTAGCTTTTTTTTGACTGTCACTGTACATTGATCAGATGTTTTCAAAGAATGGGGGGAAGCAGTAGATGTGGTATTTCTTGACTTTAGTAAAGCTTTTCATACTGTCTTGCATGACCTTCTCATAAACAAACTAGGGAAATAGAACCTAGATGGAGCTACTATAAGGTGGCTGCAGAACTGGTTGGAAAACCATTCCACAAGTCCTCCTGTTCTTCATTCCCAGAGAGAATTTATTAGTGGTTCACAGGCAAGCTGGAAGGACTTATCAAGTGGTATCCCACAGGGATCAGTTCTGGGTCCGGTTCTGTTCAATATCTTCATCAATGATTTATATAATGGCATAGAGAATACACTTATAAAGTTTGCAGATGATACCAAGATGGGAAGGGTTGCAAGTGCTTTGGAGGATAGGATTACAATTCAAAATGATCTGGACAAATGGTCTGAAGTAAATAGGATGAAATTCAAAAAGGACAAATGCAAAGTACTCCATCCAGGAAGGAACAATCAGTTGCACACATGCAAAATGAGAAATGACTGCCTAGGAAGGAGTATTGTAGAAAGGGATCTGAGAATCCTAATGGATCACAAGCTAAATAGAAGACAATAGTGTAACACTGTTGCAAAAAAACAAATATCATTCTGGGATGTATTAGCAGGAGTGTTGTAATCAAGACACGAGAAGTAATTCTTCCGCTCTACTCCCCTAAATGTCAGGGTAGTTAAGCACTGGAATAAAGTGCCTAGGGAGGTTGTAGAATCTGTCTGGAGATTTTTAAGAACACCTGTCAGGTATGGTCTAGATAATACGCAGTCCTGCCTTAAAGTGCCTTAAAGTGCAGAGGACTGGACTAGAAGACTTCTCAAGATCCCTTTTAGTCCTACAGGTCTATGATTCTATGAAGTAGCAACAATGACTCTAAGATTCTTTTTTTTTTTTTGAGTGGGAACAGCTAATTTAAATCCCATTATTTTGTATATATAGTTGGGATTATGTTTTCCACTGTGCATTTGTCAACAGTGAATTTCATCTGCCATTTTGTTGTCCAGTTATCCAGTTTTGTCAGATCCCTTTGTAACTCTTCATAACCTGCTTTGGATTTAACTATCTTGAATAATTGTGTATCATCTGTAAATTACGCCACCTCACGGTTTACCCCTTTTTCCAAATCATTTATGAATATGTTAAACAGCACTGGTCCCTGGGGGACAGTCCTATTTACCATTCTCCATTCTGAAAACTGATAATGTATTCCTACCCTATGTTTCCTGTCTTTTAACCAGTTACTGATCCATGAGAGGACCTTCCCTCTTATCCCATGAATGCTTTCTTTGCTCAAGAGCCTTTGGTGAGGGATCTTGTCAAAGGCTTTCTGAAAGTCCAAGTGCACTATATCCACTGGATCACCCGTGTCCACATGTTTGTTGACACCCCTCAAAAAATTCAAATAGATTGGTGAGACATGATTTCTCTGTACAAAAAGCCATATTGACTCTTCACCGACAAGTCGTGTTCATCTATTTGAGAAGGCATGAAGGCTTAGAAAGGGGAATTTCTGTGTGGGTGGGGAAAAGCAGGTAGGGAAGAGGTAGGGGACAAAGAGCAGGAGGGTCCAGAGGATCACAGTGCTGTAGAGGTGTCTGAGTTTTCCTTCCATAGGGGTGCAAAAGGAGATTTGCTTGTGGAGGGTCCCTTTGTAATGAAGTTAGACATTTTTTCTTAAATGTCTCTCTACAGTCTTGGCAGTTTCCTTCATTGATGTGCAGAAAGAACTTATTAGCATTAAATTATACAATGTACTTACACTTACATAATGAGTGGAGAAAGAGAACTATTGAAGAACAACACTGTATTAGATATACAACATAACAATACTTTTATGTAACATCTATAAGAGGAGGTTTCTCAGAAGTGATTAGGTACCCCTCTGGGTTTCACAGTAGTGATTCTTTACTGGTGAAATTTTGCAGTACTAGTTTCAGGCTACCTGTGAGATAGTAAAGTGCTAAAATCTTTTTATTTTGAAGTGTGTGGGCGCAACCACACAGTTCAAACAGCTTGTATTCAAAAGTCTTCTGTGACCAGAGTTTGGGAAAATTTGAGTTAGAAACTGAAATATTACTAAGGTTGTCATCTGCATCAGGTCATGATGGTAGATGTCATAATGTGTGCTTACTCTCTGAATGTCATAATCCTCATCACATGTATGCTAAGAGTGGTGTCTGATACAATTGTTATATGGGAAGGGGGAAGATAGTCAATTTGACCAGGCTGTCTTAACTCTATGAAAATATCATATGGTAAGCTTAAACAATATGAAGACTTGAGATCTCCTTTCAAGATAGAGTTCTGTTAAATATAGGATTTAATACTGAGTATAAATTCATGCTGTCATTTGATAAATTATAGGAATCAGATATACAACTGAAGGGGCTATATTTGAATTGACAGATACCTTTTGCTAGTCTTCTGTAGGCCCAATCTTGTCATATTTTCAAATTAAATGGGCTTGGATTAATTTTGGCCTGAAAATGCTACTACACCTCTACCCCGATGCAACATGACCTGATGTAACACGGGTTCGCATACAATGTGGTAAAGCAGCGCTCTGGCGGATCAGTGCGTCAGCTCCCAGCCGCAGCGCTCCGCTTCCCGCCATTGGTGAGTGCGGGGAGGTTGGGAAAAGGATGCCCCCCGTACTCACCTGCGGCAGGAAGTGGAGCGCCACGGCTGGGAGCTGGTGGAATGGAGTGGGCTGGGGCTGGGCTGCTCCGCTTCCCGCCGCTGCCGGTGAGTGCCTGTCAGGGGGTCGGGCCGGGGGGGGTAGGGGGGGTGGATAGAGGTCAGGGCAGTCAGGGGACAGGGAGCAGGGGGGGTTGGGTAGGGGGTGGAGTCCTGGGGGTGATTAGGGACGGGGGTCTCTGGAGGACAAGGAGCAGGGGGGGCCAAAGCAAGTTCGATATAACGTGGGCTCACCTATAGCGCGGTAAGATTTTTTTGGCTCCGGAGGACCGCCTTATATTGGGGTAGAGGTGTACTTGTAGGCGTCTAAATTTTTTATCACTATGTGATATCTGATGGTAAAAAGGTGTAAAATCTTATAAGCTAAGCAAGATTTGACCGGATTACGTAAATTAGAGACCTGGAGATAAGGAGTCCATAAACGCATATACCTTTTCAAGTCACACTTTACTCCTTGTGGTGGGTTGGGGTGAGTGCATCTGTGCAGCTACACATTTAGGGTGGGAGGAGCAATTAACTTCACTTAAAAAATTAGCTAAACAAGATTGTATATTGTATATTAAGTTGTTATCGAAAGAGTGTCTTATGTGACTGGGGAAAGGTTTACAAAAAATCTGTGCCTGCCAGTAATATTATGTTGTTCTCTACAGACAATATAGTGGCTATGACTACTCTCAGCAAAGTGGATTTGTCCCTCCAGAGATGATGCAGCAACAGCAGCCTTACACAGGGCAGATTTACCAGCCAACACAAACATACACTCCAACTACAGCACAGTCTTTCTATGGAAGCAATTTTGAGGATGAACCACCCTTACTAGAAGGTATAACTTGTTCTTTACTACTCCTCTCCAAAACTGCCCCTAACTTGGGGGTAATCTGAGAAGTAAGGAATGTACTCTCTAGTTAACTAACTTCTAATTATTTTTTTAATTGCATCTGTCATGCCTGCCTCTGAGTTCCCCTGCCAATTTCTCACTTTACAGTCACATTATCTTTATTTCTCTCCCCTATTGGTCTGTGAAAGTCACACAAATTAAATGGGAAATTGACTGTACATGGCATTATGTCAAATGTGGGAATAAAAGCACTGATTTTTTTCCTCAGTCTGTTATAATAAGTGTTGTTTGCAACAACAAAAGGTTACTTTTTTTTTTAATTGATAGTGCCTCTTTAATTATAAATAACTGACTTTTTGGTGTTTAGAAGCCAAATTCTAATTTGAGGAAGGAAGTAATAAAGATGTAGGATATGTCCTACATTGAATACAAGGTGCCGGAATTGATAGATATTGAGAATACTTGGACTGATGGCTGGATTTTTCACCTTCTCTATACATTGTTATGCTCTCAGTCAGAGTTTGTGACAAATTACCTTTCCTGTTACTAATGACGAGGGAAGTACACTTTGGATGGAAGCAGATCATGTACATTCTATTACTAAGCAAAATTCGTTTACTAATCTACATAGCTAGATTTGAGTTGGTAAATCAAAACTGTACAATGCAGAGGGTCAGTCTTAGAAGCAATCCTGTCATTGGGTCTGCCCAAGGAGATCTGATTGCAGAATCTGGGCCTTAGAGACTAGCAGTCCCTCACTCCTGAGTAGTTGAGAACTGGAGTGCCACAGAGACAGTGCGCTCAACCCCCTAAAGGAGAGATGGAATGTCTCCTATCATTCTTTGGTCATCTAAAGAACGGCACTTGATAACCTTCATTGTCTTGCCTTCAGTCTGGAGCAGATTTGAAAGTGACGGGGCAGGAAAAAGAAATGGTGAAGAAAATGGGGGCAAAGGAGAAATAAAAAGGGAAACAAATCTGCATAATTCTTTTCATGTAACCTGTAGAATTAGGGATCAATTTCGACCACATCTGGCAGAAGACACTAACAGTGCTACACCCATTAAAAGTAGCAGATGGCAGCATCATGAATGAGACTGATTTGGCAGGACCAATGGTCTTCTGTCTTGCCTTTGGAGCCACGTTATTGCTGGTAAGATACAGATTGCAAAATATTAATGTATTAATCATAGTCCAAAAACATTGAGAAAAGCTAAATTATCCTTGGGTCTCTCATAAGAATCTCCATGGCCTGGAAGTCACAAAACAGGCCTTGACCAAGGATTTATGGTTCATTAGTACATGATTTTGGGCCTGATTCAAAGCCCCTTGATGGAAGTCTTTCCATTGTCCTCACCACGCTTTGGGTCAAGCCCTTCAAGCTCAGTATGTAATGTGCCATGTTGCTTTATGTAGTGACTTCTTCGCATATCTTGCTTTTGTGTAATATGGCTTCTGTTGTCATGAAGACTGAGGACCATAGTCACAGGGGGGGGGGGGTCAGGTGACTCATTGTCCTTAGTTTTATAAAGTTAAATCTTCAATTTTAACCATATTTCAATTTCTTCTCCTTGTACAAATCAAGATGTCTTGTTTGATGTCAGAAACACAGTTTCAATAGAATGTAATTGTTTTATTTGCACAAAATGTTCTAATTTGGTTGCTTTATCTATGGTTTTGGCTCTTGATACATATTCCGTTTATACATTTAGTAGATTTTTCTATCATGCCAGTTTCTGATGCACTGAAATTTTACTTTGGGTTATTCTAGTATTTCTTTGTTCAGTATACTTCGGCGTGGTCTATACTGGGCGGGAAGAGGGCGGATCGATCTAAGTTACGCAATTTCAACGTAGCTGAAGTCGATGTACTTAGATCTACTTACCATGGTGTCTTCACTGTGTTAAGTCGACGGCTGACACTTTCCCATCGACTCTGCCTGGGCCTCTCGCCTTGGTGGAGTACCGGAGTCGACAGGAGAGCGCTTGGTGGTCGATTATCGCATCTAGACTAGACGCGATAAATCGACCCCCACTGGATTGATCGCTGCCCGTCGATCCAGCGGGTAATGTAGAAAAGCCCTTGGTTTATTGGTGGTGGTGTTTTTAGCTGATTGTCTTTAAGAAAAAAATTACTAATAAAGGAGGTTCACAATTATTCAATTACTTTTTAAAATTATATTGCTATGGTTGACATAGACTTGGTGGACACCACCACCAATGTCAGCATTATTAGGCATGATTTACCACCAAATCAGCAAACCAATAGCCAAAACTGTTAATGTTTGCTGATTGACCTATAGGCTTCAATGGGAACAGACCTGTGGTCTCCAACCTTTTTATGCCCAGGATCACTTTTTGAATTTAATGGCAACCCAGGATCTACCCCGCCCCACTCACTCACTCTCCCCCCCCTCTCTCTGTCACTCACTCTCCCCCACCCTCACTCACTTTCACCGGGCTGGGGGTAGGGGGTTGGGGTTCAGGAGGGGGTGCAGGCTCTAGGCTGGGGCTGAGGGGTTTGCAGTGTGGGAGGGGGTTCCGGATTGAGCCTGGGGCAGGGGGTTGGGATGCAGGAGGGGGTATGGGGTGATGGCTCTGGGAGGGAGTTTGGGTGCAGGAGGGGGCTCTGGTCTTGGGCAGAGTGTGGGGGTACAGGGTGCTGGCTCTTGAAAGGGGTCAGAGCTGGGGCAGGGGGTTGGGGTGCTGGCTCTAGGAGGAGGCTCAGGATTGGGGTCAGCCTCTTGGTGGGTGGCACTTACCTTGGACGGCTTCCAATTAGCGGTGCAATAAGGTTAGGGCAGGCTCACTGCCTACTCCCAGATGGGGCCAACGTGCCCCTGTGGGGGCATGTGGCTACACACGGTGCCCCTCTCTGCAAGCACCGCCCCCCGCAGCTCCCATTGGCCACAGCTCCCCGTTCCTGGCCAATGGGACCTTCGGCGGCAGTGCTTGCAGGCAGGAGCAGCGCACGGTAGGAGACCCCTGCCCCCCTGCGGCCAGGCTGGCCGCTTCTGGGACAGACAGGGTGCCTGCCTTAGCGGCAGCCTCACTACACCACCAGAGATCATGTTCGACTGGGAGATTCTCTAGAATCGACCAGTCAATCGCAATCGACTGGTTGGTGACCACTGCTATAGGTGTTTTGCCAATTAAACTTAATTGGAATAAGATTGACCTAAAGTTATTACTTTTATCTACAGGGCTGAAAGCAAGCATAATCTTTCATCATTGGTATCAGTGAAGTATAAAGCAATATTTAGTTTTCTGAAGCTTAAATGATTTAGTATATGACAAAGTAGGAACAAGCCAACTTCCTTGTCATTGTACATTTCAGTATTTTTAATAAATTTCAACTTTGCATGCTTATTTTTAAGGAAAATGGGGCCCCTAGTATTGAGGGCCCTCGTATTGAAAGGAACACATTCTCTCTGTAATGGACAGTTCATGAGGTGTAATTTTATCTTATGGATTTTCAAGTGTCTCCTTAACATGCTCAGCTACATTTTATTCAATCGGTCATCAGCAAGAATATTTTAGTTACTTAAACTTATCTATTAAGTTGCATTACCATTTGTTTTTATTTTGTAATATTAACCACTTTAAGACTCAGACTTTAAGGTCAGAAGGGACCGTTGTGATAGTCTAGTCCTGCACATTGCAAGCCCCAGAACCTCACCCACCCACGCCTGTAATAGACCCCTAACCTCTGCTGAGTCACTGAAGTCCTCGAATCATGGTTTAAAAATGTCGTTACAGAGAATTTACCATTTACACTAGTTTAAACCTGAAAGTAACTCATGCCCCATGCTGAAGGCAAAAAAACCCCAGGGTCTCTGCCAATCTGACCCAGGGGAAAATTCCTTCCCGACCCCAAATATGGCGATCAGTTAGACCCTGAGCATGTGGGCAAGACCAACCAGGGAAAAAATTCTCTGTAGTAACTCCGAGCCCTCCTGCTCTAGAGTGAAGAAAATAACCACTTGTATGTGTTACCAGTTTGAGAGTGAAATGAAAACTGATCTGAAAATGGTCATGTGTACTGTAGGCATAACAGGTAGGGTTAAGACAATAGGAAATGCACTGAAATGAAAACAGCTGAGAACGTGGTATATGGGAGGATATTACAATGGTGGGTATATCACTTAATAAAACTCAGGATTCTGTTTATTGAATGTCTTGAATTTTTTGCAATATCAGGCATTTGGCTGATACTGCTTCTGAACAGCATTGCTTTTGGGTCTAGAACTCAGCGTGTCATAGCCTGCTTTTCCCAGATATCTCACTATTTCTCTATAGCACTCAGTCATTTGGTACAGTTATTTTGCTCTGTCTAAAAATTAAAGAATGAAATCCTTGTGCTTTGAGTACTGTAGTTCAAACACTTTCCTATCTGCCAATCTAATGCAGCCACGCAGCTCTGTCCATATTGGAGGCATTCTTAAGCCGTGTCTCCAAGTCATGCTCTGAGAGGATACATACCTAAATACCATGGAATCAGATTTTTAAATAGTGTATTAACACTATTTTACAAGACCAAAAATAATTCTAGATAGGAAACAAAAAACTTGAAATATTTTATGATGATGATGAATTTACACTGTGCTATAGCTATGCATGGCACTCCACAAAAAACAATTTACCCCCTTGAGGCAAAAATCAAGAATCTGAGTCATTGGTAGAGATGGAAAGAGTTATGTCACATGGAACATTTTTCAGTGCATTGCTAATTTACATTTTTTATTTAGTAGTTGATCATTTCCATAGTAAAGGTGCTGATAAAAAAACATTCAGATAATCTTCAGAGTAGGATCAATATGCAAATATAATGGAGTAAATTAAGCAGCGTTCATAAGATTTTGTAGCCCAACTAGAACTACGTTACATAAGCACACTAAGTTTGCAGCTGGTTAGATGCACCACTTTTTGTAATTGAAAACTGATACGGTAAATATGCCTATTGGACATTATACAAGTACTCTGTTTGGATTATTTGTGGGATGCCTTTCTTAATCCTCTTCATCTTTATCCTCTAAATTCTACTTCAGATTCATCACTAGGTCAAAGATTACCACAATCTTATACTCTCCTTATTATTTGTAAAATGCAGTATTTAGTCAACTTTAAGACAAAACATGTTTAACTTGTGTTACTCCTCTCATCTTTAGGTTGGTAAAATTCAGTTTGGGTATGTGTATGGAATTAGTGCAATTGGATGTTTAGGAATGTTTTGCCTGCTGAACTTAATGAGCATGACGGGCGTCTCATTTGGCTGTGTTGCTAGTGTCCTGGGATACTGTCTTCTTCCTATGATCCTGCTTTCCAGTTTTGCAGTTATATTTTCTTTGCAGTAAGTATCAATACTAACTATTTATAATAAAAGCCTGCTTCCATATATTGTGGATTTTTCTCCCATTGCGGGGGAGTTCTGTTAGATGGAATTTATACTATATTAATAATTGATTTGTCAAATGAAGTAAATGCTTACACAGCATGAACACTTATTCACACTGTCCATTTTCAGTTATTACAAATTACTTTTAGATTCAAATTATAGCATACTTCAGACATATTTACTTGTCAAACAACACAAACAAGTTGTATATCAGGATATAGAAAGCTAAAATAATTTAAGAAATATAGATTAAATTTTAATTAATGTTGAGTCTGGAAAACTAAGTTAAACGCCCAGCATAAAAGAAAATCACTAACTTCATTACTCATCACAGAAAGCTACTTGTACAGAAGTACAAAGGAACACCTTGTTTTGAGTTTACTCGGTTCTAAACCTTTTTGTACTTACAACTTAATTTGTCTTTTTTAACTAGTCATTCTCAAAGCTTTACTGAATAGTAATACTAATTTTATATTTACTGAAATTCCTTGTACTTTTTATTTAAAAACCCTCAATGATAAAATTCAGTATAAAGTTTAAAAACAATCAACCTTTGAAACATATTTAACTTACTAGAAAATATTCTAATTCCTGCATTCGTCTAAGCGTGCGCACACACACACCTACCTTTTTAAACTGCTCTTTTCTTGTATGTTACAGGGGAATGATGGGAATTATTCTCACTGCTGGGATTATTGGATGGTGCAGTTTTTCTGCTTCCAAAATCTTCATTTCTGCCTTAGCAATGGAAGGACAACAGCTTCTAGTAGCATATCCCTGTGCTTTATTATATGGAGTCTTTGCTCTTATTTCTGTGTTTTGAACTGACTATTCTGATTACTGGACTTCAGTGGGCCAAACTGAAAAAAAAAAATCAACTTGGAACACTTAATTGGACCAGCAAAGATCTACGTCGCTGCTATCATGCAAACTTAACTCTTGAATTGTCTGATGGAGCAATGGAAACAAACATGTCTCGTTCACTTTTATAGGACTCTTGAATACTGTTTGAATTGACCTGCAGTGTCTATAGCTTTAAGTGTTCATGCTTATACAGTTAAAAATGTAATGTTTCTTTACCATTTCTACAGCCTTTAGAAAAGTAACTTCGGGGAGTTTTGGGAGGGTTGGGGGCGGGAGAAGTGGGGTTGTAGTTATATTTGGTAGGTTCTTAATCAGCAAAAGTAAATGAAACTACAGACATTGCAGTCTTTATTCAAAAAGAAAAACAATCTTTGGCCAACCCAATTCCTGTCACCTCTATTGCAAAGAGTTTCTCAAGCAAGTTGAAAATTGCATATTTTCTGTATTTTAACAAATACTCTTTAAGCTGTTATTTATACAATGTGTTGGTATTTCAGAATTCAATATGCAATTTAAATTGTTTAATTTGAAAACAAATCCTTTAGTCAAAAGTATACAAATAAATTTGAGACTTGAAATGTGAATGTGTTTAGATATTAGCATCAGTTTAAGTGGCTATACCTTATCTTGGGTTTATCAAGATTACTTGCAGGAGCTTGTTCTAATAATGCACATATTAATGGCTCAAGAGTAGACTTTTTTTTTTTTTTTTTTTTTTTTTTTTTT